GTTACTTCAGGCCTTTGTCAAAATGTTCCCATTAGTGCAGCATCTAGGTCAGCAATGGGTTATTTCAATATCTCTCTTTCCTTTGCTTCTGTAGTTAAAAAACATACCTGGAGCAAAGTCTACCTAGTCTTTTTTTACACACTATGAACCATCATATAAATGCTGTGAATCAGAACTCAAACTACAATATGGACTTCATATTCACTCTTTTATTTCACATCTCAAGGCCCAGAATCCATCCACAAATAGGAAGTGATTCTATTGTCTTTTGTGTATATAGTCTGTGTGATAGAGAGCCTTATAATGAACTTAAGAGCTTTTTTATACACCAGAATTTGCTATTTTTTTCAGGTCAGCTAAAGAATAAGAGGATTGTGTTTTTTAGCTGCACACTAGGGCTAAGGTATGATAAGCTGCTAGGGGAATACGTGATGTCCAAAAGTTCAGTTTCCCCCTCCTTGCCTCAAAAGAATGTAAAGCAGTTATTAGCAATTTGAGATTACACAGAAGCTAGGAGGGTTTTTTGAAAACTTTGGTAACAATATTGTACACGACACAGATATGCTGACTGCATGTGCCTTTTGCTTACATTGTCAAGAGAGACCATTCCTTCACAGTAGAAAAAAAAAGAAAAAAAAGAAAGAAAGAAAACCACCACCACCCTGTAAGTCAAAACCAAACCAGTCTAGAGTTTGGACACCTCATTTTCTAAACACTTTGAAATGCATACGCAAACTTTAACACAAAGAAATCTGTACTCATTTTAGATCCAATGTCTGCACCCCACATATCAATGGCATCTACAGCTTCAAGGAAAGAGAACCCAACAGCCCAAAACTAGATGCAAAATGTTTTGTTCACCTTTAAAACAGTGACATAGAAGGCTTGAAGTACAGTAGTAGCCATCCCTATTCTAGACTGCATCAGGGCCAAAACTATGCCCAGCAGCCTTCAGGGAGCCCAGGCTGCATGAGATGCCTCTAGTCATAACAGCATCTCTGTCACACGTTCTACAGTGCTGAATACTGGGGGTTGACCACAGTAAGTCAGACACATGGCAGTGTTGGAGTTTAAACAGGATCCTTGGCAAAAAACCTGCAGGTTTCTCACATCAGAGAACCTAATAAATTCTAATAACCTAATAAAGATACTGAGATTTTTAAAAAGCCAGTAAGAACTCCATAAAAGGGCAAGCACAGAAACAAAAATTTGACCTTTTGACACTATCCCCAAATAAGTAAAATTTCCTACAGATGATGTTCTCCTCACACTGCTATCTTTGGTTCTGGATTTTGATACTTTCATTTTTTAACTCAATCATTCTGTAGTTTTTGTGGTTGGGCTGGGATTTTTCATTTCTGAGACAGACAAACTATTGAAAAGATGACCACTTTATCCTAGGGATTTTTAACAACTTCAACTGCACCAACAAAAATGCACAAGTAATTATTACATACTTTAGATATTAGTCTCATACTTTTGTGTCCAGAAATCAACATTCTGAAATAGAAAGATCTGATGAACTATGATGACAAATTTAAAATTGGAAGAATAAAATCAAATGCATAGCTGATTTAGTAGCTGGCGCATTTACAAAAACATTACCTGAGAATTTTTCATTAAAAATACTTACTCAATTCCACGGAAGCAATATTTTCTTCTAAACTGAAAAACACTTTGAACCACCTTTTCTACTAGCTCAAATGGCTGCTGGATCTTTGGTTGCACCAATGGAGTGAAATGCACCACAGCCACATCCACCTATATGGAAAAGAAAGAAAAATTCGAGTAGACATCTTCCTCTGAGACACATTACTTCTAAGTTACCTGGCTAGACATCGGCAAACAGGCAGAATATAAGAAGGAATTCTTGCAGCAGATAAGCCAGCCATGCAGTGACTAATGGCATGGTATGGAATAGAAAGATTTGCCTTAGCTTTCAAGACCCTACAGAATTTTAGTCTTAGTTATCAGCATATTTCCAATTAGTTCACATGCCATCAGTACTTAGGACTTTTTACCCCCATGGCACTTTGTCCATTTAGAGCAACTTTCACGTAATCTGTAAAGTAATTAGCACTTCTGTCTTCAGATCCTTCCACAAGATAATTCTGACATAATACACAAATTAGATAATATTTGATATATAGGCTGAAGGGCAGCTGGAGAAAATTGGTATTATAATTAGAAATCAAACTCATTCCCTATATGTTTTCTGTTGCTCCAGGGCTTTTCTAAAATGTAAGCTAAGGAATTGCTTTTTAATGTATTAGGATTGCTAGTCTATTTAAAGGAATGGTAGGTAGAAATAAGTGCACTCAGTTTAAGTGACCACACAACTCTGTATTTACACTGTGTATCACAGTTCATCCAAAATTATGTTTGAACAGTTCCACGAAGATAAGCTTGTATATATTCTTTTGTAGTTCTCAGATCAGACTGGTTCACTGAGTAGTCACTTGCCCTGTGTCTGAGAACAGAATGAAATAATATGTACACACTTTTATGTTTTTTATATGTCTATGTGTATATATCTGTGTATGTCAAGCAATTATAGAGGCACTGTATTACATAGAAACTTTCTGAATTCAGACTTCTGTACTAAAAATTAGGAGCTGGAATAAAACTCCAGTTCTGCACAACAATGAATAATGCAGATCATCTTCCAAACTAGATATTAACAATAAAAAGGAAAAATTTCTGTGTAGGAGCACAATGAAAATTTTTAAAATGTGTACAAGTACTGTACAAATTTTTAAGTGCCAGATTTTAAAAAATACTTAGTCTCTTATTAAAAAGTCTGCTAAAATGATGGGCAATCACTGAATTTTTAAAAAGATCTGACAGTCAATACTGGCACTCACAGAACATGAATTTATCATCACATGTGCTAGTTCTGACAGAAAAGAGAGGCACAATCAGACCAAAGAACAGCTGCTGCTTGAACCACAGTCTCAGTGTACCAATTGTTCGAGACAACCCAGAGCACAAGAGTACTTCAAAAAACAAAGTGTTCCTCCTACTGCTTCAACCAAAACTGCTCATAGCAACCTCTGATGTGACATAATCTTACACAAAGGTGCCATCCATCCATTTTGTTCTTTCTGTGGGAACAGCTCAGCTGTTAAGTACATCTATCCAGTACAAATGCTTCTACAACACAAATTTCAAAGGAATTGTAAAATCCAAACAATATCGGTTTTTCATGTAGACAGAACTTACAAAGCCAAGCAAAAATACTGGCTAGAGAAAGGAAAGAAAATACCAATTAATGGCACTGATGAAGAAAAAACCCACAGCAAGTTTCCAGTGCTAGCACTGCTGATCCCAAGTATATATTACTGGAGTATTTTTCTTTAGTTGTCCACCTTTTCTGAAAGCTAGAGTTAAAAACACACCAGAAAAAATACTTAAAATCACTGAAATGTGAAGCACAAGAACTTATTTAAAAATCAGGCGACAAAATCACTTGACATATGGAATCTGCAGTGAAGCAAACATAAATTATTTCCCAAAGCAGATTTTAATTTTTCAAGTGTCAGAGCATCTGCCTTTGCCATGGGTTGCTCCTACCAGGAAGATCACAGGGATATAGAAAAAAAAACCTGTGTTCACATTGAGTAGAAGAAAACTTAATCTTTTTGAACAGAGCAAATACATAGTTCACATGTCCAATCAGCTCCTTGAACAGAAATACTAAGGGCACGTGCATATGTTTACCTACATTTTGGCCAGGAAATATAACAATATTACCCCCACAAAATGAAGGGTAAGAAAACAACCATATAGCATCACCTAGTCACCCCAATTCTGCAGAAATGCTCACAAGTGAGAAATGAGGGCTCTTTGGGAGTTAGAGACACATCTTGAACAAAAATTTCTGAAGGAAAAAAGCACATAATCTAGATACAGTGTACAGCTTCAGAGCCAAACAGCTCAATTTGCAATCTCAAGGCCAGTAGGCAATAATTTCTGCTTCTGAAACAAAACACAGCACTTCTCAGTTCCATTATAGACATTGTTTTCTTTGGACCCCAGGAAAGCTGCTTGGTTACTATAGCAACAGATACAGGGGAAAGCTTTTCATTTGTAAATGGCCACTCCTTTAAAATCACACATGCTATTTTCCCCATACCTTTTAATATGCATCAAATAGAGAGTAGAATTATGAAAGCCAATAGAGTACATAAGAGCACTTAAAATACACATGTTGATTTGATAATTTTACTAGTAACACTTTTCACCCAACCAAGTATTTTAGAAATATTTACAAAATAACACTCAAGTCTTACAAAATAATGAATAGCAAAATCATTCAACTGATACATCCCAAATTGTCACTAGTACAGCAATTATTCACCCCTGACTGTTTTAGTATAACTGTACAATGAAGGTTTATGTTCTGGTAGGGTAGGAGGAACACATAACAGAGTACAATTTAATTCACACAAGTCTGCTGCCTTGCTAATGAAATCAACACACTAAATCAGAATAAGCTTAAATGAGACAATTTTTACTAATTGTTGACAACAAAGGTCTCATAATGGGCAATACACGTACCCTGCAACAGGGCTGTATTAAAAGCAAACCCACATAACCTTTCCTCAGGATGTAATTTGCTCATAGGGAACTAAAACCAAACCAGAATATATTACAATTTCATTAAAACAGACTGCTTGAGATCCTACTGAGAAAGTTCTAAGCCAGCACTTTCACAATCCAAGTATTCAGTACTATTTTATCTGTCTACTACAAACAAATGTTAGGTCTAACACCAGATATGTGCAACTCATAGTGCAATTTTGTTCTGATGAGAGTTTACTTTTGGCTCACTTCCATTAGAAAGCAACTATGCTGCTACACTAATAGAAATTATTTCTGTGCCAGAAGAGCTCTGCAGTAACTCCATTCACACCAGGCTCACAAACAGAATCACAAGACACCCAAAGTCAGGTACAGAACCTGTGAGTATATCACTGCTGCAATGAGCAAGACCTTTCTCCAATCTTCTTGATTTCTCACACCAACTTGTTGAGGCCACTTCTCTGATGTGCTGCATCTACCATGGAAGCCTTACCAGCAGCTTTATTCCCTTATTCTTTTATACAGCCTTATACAAAGGTAACAAGTTAGAGGATAACCTATGGAAGGCTAAAGCTATCAGGAACAGACAAGCAAAGCCTGCAGTTGAATAGAAGTGTCCTGCTGTTCCATTACAAATTAAAATAAATTGCACAGTTCTTTTCTAGGAAATTTAAACTCTTAATAAGATTATCTGTGATGAAAAGAACAACAACTGACAAACAAGAAAACTCTCTGGCTCTCAGTGCAACTTAAATGATTCTCCCTCCAGTCTGCAAGTCTACAGTTTCTGGATTCATAAGATTTTACTCCATTTAATCACTGCTCACACTTTCCACCACAGAGCCTGGGTATCATTATGTATTTAGGACTAAGGGCCGCCGTCTGTTTTATTCCATAATCTCTTTGCTTTCCCTCACTGACTGTTTTTCAAACAACACTCATTAAACAAAGTACTCCTTTATTCTCGGGTAGATGGAACTAAGAGAGGGAGCAAACAGCAGTAATGCACTTGCTGTGGAGAACAGAAAAAAAACAACATTCCAAGAAATTTTGTTAATACATGCCAATGCAGTTTTATATGAGAAGGGATAGCTGCATTCAAGAGAAACTACATTTACCAGGATATCTACAGTGAAGAAAACATCTCAGACCTCACGACCAGCAGTAAGTCCTACACAAACAGATATGAAACATAACTGTATGTTTAATTACAACTGTAGTGCTTATACTTGAATTTATCATGCCTTTAACTTGGTTCACCCCATTAAATGTAATGTATGGCTACCATTCACAGTGTTTTGTGTTTATGCTTGCGTGTTTTTATATACTGATTTTAAAAAAGGAAGCAATGAAAAAGGCTGATTCAGAGCACTAATTATCTTTTTGAGAACATGAATGAGAATATGAATGAGTTTTTGAATGGGTTTTGAGCTACCCAGACCTGTCAGTTCCTGCTGTAAAAGGAAGTTAAGCCATATTTCCCATGGGCCTGTACAGCAAATTATATGTATTTGCCAGAACAGCTCTTCCCAGCCTGAACAAACTGAAGGGATTTGGAAATAGGCAGGTCTCTGAAACAAGGTTTTAACAATTAATAGCTGTTAATATTTGCACCTTAAATTTAAGCATATTTAATATATATATGCTGGATACAGTTAGCACAGCCTTGAACAATTATCTGAAATAAATACAATATAAAAAGATTAGAGTATAAATATATAAATCATGTATATAGAGAGAATACAGAGAATTATACTATATATTATAATAGAGGATAACAGTGTTATAAAGGATAAATATATTAACTGGTTCAGAAATGCCATTTAAGACTGATAGAATACATACTGATCAAAATCTTGTTGTCTTATGTATAAGGAACTGAAACAAGAGTACAATGCTACAGATATTTTGTATTCCTCTTATTTTAATTTTATCCCTTATAGCTTTTCAAAAAAGTTCTAATGCTGCAGACCAATTTTAATATCATGGTACATATTTAGATAAAAAGTCTGGATCATGCTTTCTAAGACAGAAGCCTGCCCTTTGTCTACCACTGTTAAAAGACAAAACCTGCCAACTATACAGCCCCACACAAAAGGCAAAGCAGGGTACCACCTTCTAATCCTCCTCTCAGAGGGTTCAATCCACTGTTCTGCATCTGCAACCCCAACAGTCCAGCTGAGGTGACAGCAACAGTTCTGTCTTCCCAGCTGCACAGTTATCATTCTGCCCAAAATGTTCTCATCTGTCAAATGAAATTGGACACTGTATAAAAGAATAGCAAGGAGCTTTTTCAATGAATTTTTTAAAACTACCACTTCATGGCAGATTTGCAAATTATTTCAGACAGGTGACTGATTCAAAAAAAGGCACTTCCACAAATGAGCTGTTTCATACTAATATAAAAACATTTTAGAAGCAGATCACATTCACTCTTATGACTTCCTAAATACTGCTTCTCTAAGTCAAGAAATGGAAATAACTGAAAAAAAACCAACTTGTAAGTTTAAATAAAAAGAATAAAATATTGATTTAAAAAAGTCATGAGACTAATTGTAAAAATGCAAAAACTAAATTCCATTTTATTCTCCTCAAAAGCCAAGATATTTGTAACACTTATTAAAAAGATTAACAAGTAATATTTAAAAAAGAAATAAGGGGTTACCTTTAAGTAAAGGTAAGAACTAGTACAACAGCGCCTATTATTATAAAAAAGTCAACAGAAGCTGACTGCAGCTATCAACACACTTAAACAAGGTACCTGAAGAGTACAGTACCTTTTCTACCAGTGTGTTTTCCTACCACAATGGCTTCTAATCTGCAAGTTTCTAGTGTTCCATTTACGTGTATCTGTCTAGTAAGCCTGCAATTTGTATGCTATTACCAAAACCAACCGCAGTAAAATAAGTTTTGCTTGATGGCTTGCAATCATGTATGAAAGGGCAGCAGCTCCTTTTTACAAGCAATTCTAAAGCACTGTCCATTTGCCATCATCTCTGTTCAAGTACCTTGTGTACAGCAGCTCAGCTGCTGCAGGGTCATATTCAGATATTCATTCAGATAGCTCTAATTTTAAATGCAAGCTTTTTTTGTTTGCTGATTTCTTTTCCTTTCCCCCTCGAACTTCTCCTCCCCCCCTTTCCTCCCTGTTGCACAGGCGGCCACAGCTTGGCTACGAAGCTCCCAGTTACTCATTCCCACGAGAGAAAAGGCAGACAAAAGGTGACAGAACCATCATGGCATCAGCAAGCCTGCAGTTCTTTGCTTTCATTCTGGCTTTGTTTGGCGTTTTTGGAGATATCGCAGCCACCTTGCTACCAAACTGGAAGGTAAACGCAGACGTTGGCTCAAACATCATAACAGCTATCACACAGATGCAAGGGCTTTGGATGGACTGCACATGGTACAGCACTGGGATGTTCAGCTGCACCCTGAAATACTCCATTCTCTCCCTCCCCGTCTACATCCAGGCTGCACGGAGCACCATGGTACTGTCGTGTATCCTATCAGCCTTTGGGATCTGCATCACTACGGTCGGAATGAAATGCACAAGGCTGGGAGGGGACACCGACAGCAAAAATAACGCTTGTTTTGCTGGAGGAATCTGCTTCATTCTTGCAGGAATCTTTGGATTAGTACCAACATGCTGGTACACGAGAGAAATTATTTCAAATTTCCTGGACCAGACCATTCCAGAGAGTAGTAAACATGAACCCGGAGGAGCAGTTTATACTGGATTCATCTCAGCAGGGTTTCTGCTTATCGCAGGTGTGATCTTCTGCTCTTCCTGTTTTAAAAGGCAGCAAGAAGCATGGATTTACCCTCCAAAGCAGCACCATTTCCCATCCACAGAGCAGGAGAGCAATGCAGGTTACAGCCTGAAGGACTATGTATAAATAGCTGTTTCTATCCATCGAAGTATTTCTATTCATTTGAGGGGGTTTTTTGTGTGTTAAGTGTAGTTTGGTTATTTCAACAAATGTGTAACATAGCACTTAATCTTTCTTGTATCTGGGTTGCAGTTATGCTTATGCAAGGTATTTCATTTATAGGGGCATCCACAAAAAGGAAAGAGTAGTAAAAGATACTTGTCTGCTACAAGAGTACTTTATTTTGTTGATTTTCAAACCCTTCTTTCTGACTTCACAAGTCACACTTATTGAAGAACAAGGAACTATTTTAAAAACATAATTGACTGTACAATTTATACATCAATATCTTGTTACAGCAAAGATGATTAAAAACTGCTTTCTGTTTAGTCAATCAGACTTTCAATAACATAAGACATTTTATAGTGTATTCTACAGTTTTATCTTGATTTTATTTATGATGCAAGGAAAAAAACCCAGAAACTATTTGTTCAAGAAGAGCAATTCAAAGGTTTTAAAAAAGCGGACACATCTGCCTTTCATTTTCAATTCTAAATTGCCTTGGTAACTAGATTTTGTTAAAAAAATAAAAAATACAAAAAAATCAACCAACCAAAACAAATCCACAACAAAAGCTCAAGGCTCCAAACTTTAGCTGCACTGTATGCTCTGCATATCAGGCTGAAGGATCAGCAGTACCATTCAGCTCTTGCCAAATCCAGCTCTCCTGCCCCGAACTGCCACCTGCTGTGGGTTTCATTTATTGTTGTTATAGGAAAGTATGCTGGATAGTCACCAACTGCTACTAATCTATCACTACACAGTGAATGTTAGAGATGAGGAGCAATACAACAAGAGAAATGTAACCATAACTGTGAAAACACCTGCAAACTGCAATGAGCAGGATAGAAACCAAACTATCTGTGTTCAGGAACCACCTGTAAATATTCTGGCTTACACTTGCTAAAGGCAGTTATTAACAGCTCGAATAACACAGTAATCACTTATTGCCTTCTACATTTCTGAGCTTCTGAAAGAACATTTTAAGTCATTTTAATTATTCCTGTAGGATCTGTTCCAGGCCCACTCCCAGGTATTCTATTACTGTAAAATGTACTGTAAAATATACAACAGTGATAAAAGAGACAGCTTCTTTATTTTTTTAACTGCCTTATTTTGAATAATTACCTTAAATCCTTTAACCTTTTCTTTCACCACACAGATTTTGTTTTGTATTGGTCATCGGTAAAGTATGTTCTACCTAAATACTTCCCTAAGTGAGAACTAAATCAAGAATGAATACAGGTATGATACAGGCCTTTAAATTCAGGAATACAATTCTGGATGAGTCTCTCAAAATCAGCTGCTATTTATTCTGAGTATTTATACACAACTTCCATTTCCCACAGTACTAGTCTGAAATTTGCTAAAAGAACGTGAAGGAGCCTAAACATGAAATATTTAGTATGTTGGAAAAAGATGTTTTATTACAGCATTTGGTAAAGTGGACTGTTTTATCGACTTAATATGTAAGTAGTCTTTATTCATAGAAAGTCTTCATTTTTCACACACAGAATGGCATTATATCTTGTTTTTATTCTACTGTTCTATTCTACCTACTTTGAGTTTCCTATGTTTTAATCAAGGAGCTTGATTTGTCCTATTTCTAATGCAACTATTAGCAGTTATTAGGTATCACAGAGACTTCATTATAACAAAAAGCCAATTTCTTTTTTTCCTAGACACAATGTTGTGCAGCACCACTCCATTAACCAAGAATCTTTTATGTCTCAACACTCATAGAAATGTTGAAATAATATTCATGCATTGAGCAAATGAGATAAACCACTCCTTCTCATAAACAAGCATCTCCACCTTTAGAAAGGGGTTTGACATGACACTGAGCTGTGATCACTACCATGTAAGTGAGTTAAATCTATTTGCAAAAAATGATAATCATAAGGCATTTTTACAGGAGCGTATAAGAAAAAGGTAATAATGGCATACCATGAGAACCACAACAAGTTTATTGGTTACACATACTGCAAATTTTTCTTCCTGAAACTTTACATAAAGTAGCTGTACTTCATACAGCTATGAAACAAAAATCAAGGACAGAGCCATTTCATTCACACTATGCTGCAAGTGCTTTCCAATAAAACAGATTCTATGAGAAAAAGTAACATTTAAAACCATGTCAGTCTACAGCTAAAAAAACAAGGACAAAACACAGGATCAGTCCACAACAGGTGTGTGAAGGAAACAAAATAATAGTGAAAACAGGTGCCAGTCCTGTCTGAAAGAATTCTACTTTCTGCTTTTGCAATATAAGCAATATTTGTTTTAACTCAAAAAATACATTAAATAAAAACATGCCTGCCTTTAGTTGTACTGCTTTTTTCATTCAACAGAGCACCAACTGACTCTGTGTTTATACTAAGATATTTGTCATAACTCTGAGTGTTACCTCTCTTGGTCAACTGTACAGCATTTTCAGTACAGGAAAATGGAAATATCAGTTACAGCTTCCCAATTTTGGGACACAGTCTGCACAAGACTTCACTAGATTAGCTTTATTACTACTCAAGTTGTACCCACCACTGAAAAATCCCCACCATAAAACTGGAATTTTAGCCTTACTTAAAAGTATTTCACATGTTTGACAGTGAGAGGGCATCCTGAAATTATTTTCCATTCAGCTAGGAAACAGGGGAAAAAAAACCTAAGCCAAAACCTCAAAGCAAAAAATAAGATTTCTTAAGCATGGTCATTTTCTTTCACAATGAATTTCTGTAATTTAACATGTTTGAACAGTTACTTGCTCAAAAAATACTAACAGAATTTTAAGAATTTTAACAGAATTATACCCAGATAGAGGCCTTAAAATTCATTGTGATAAATGAGAAAATAACCTTCCAAAGGTTCTCACGAGATATGCCAGAAAAGTAAAAAGGACCAAGAGAGAGAGACTGATAAAGAGGAAGAGAGATGTATTGAAGAGCTGAGCCAACCAATTTAAGAGGAACTTTCAGAAGCTGCAAGTTCACTTCTGAAACAGAGCAACAGTTTGATAGGACAAGTAGTAATGGTTTTAAACTCCCAGAGGGTTGATTTAAATTAGAAATAAGGAAGAAGCTTTTCACAATGAGGCTGGTAAAATACGGACATGTTGCCCAGAGAGATGGTGGATGTCCCATCCCTGGAAAAATTCAAGGTCACATTGGACAGAGCTCTAAGCAATCTAATGTAGTTGAAGATATTCCTGCTCATTGCATGGGAATGGTACTAAATGACCTTCCTTCCAACTCAAATACTTCTATGAGCCTATGGTTTCCACATGCATTCAGGGACACAGAAATTACTTAAAGTCAGGCACAAATTTTTACCAAAAAATCCAAACCAAACCAAAACAAGCTTATTGTCCAAAATACTGAATTATTTCTTAATTTTTGATTCCTGTACTCATAATGGCTATTAATAAAAACCAGTGGCAGTAGATAAGAGGACAACAAAAAGATTGTTCTTTACTCACTCAAGAATACATAAGAGGGAGAAAAGATTGTTACTTTTTTAAACAATCAGTGGGATACAGCTGACAAAGTGCTGTAGCAAATAGGAGGGAATAAAATATGCTGAAGATGACTGGGATGAAACTTTAAGATTATAGACATGGTAAAATTAGAGATGTTTGACAAAGTTGACAAAAGAAAAGCTTTTCTTATCACGCTCTTTCAAAAGACCCATCAAATTCTTAAGGCACAATTCCCAAACTGTTTATAAATGCATATGGTAAAATAGTAGCCTTTTGAAAAATACTCCAATCCTAGCAGACTATCCTGACATTAAATCCTAATCTCCCTCTCCAGAACACCCAAAGAAGTATGCTGACCTTGCAGATAGGTTTGAAGGTCAAAGCCAAATTCTGAGGAACAAAAAAAAAAAGCACTTTCTCAGAATAAGCATGCTTCATTTACAGGAATTTTACATCACTCTACTTCATAATACGGAGATGTTCAAATATAGCAGCCAGCAATGTTCCTTAGTGAAAATAAAATGCATTGCTTGACTGACATATTAACAAAAACCAGAAATAAATACAGGAAAACCTACCTCTGGCTTTGGAACAAAGGCTTGACCTGGAATTGTGAAACAGTTTTCCACCGTGCAGAGATGCTGAGCCATGATGGACAGTCTGCTGCGTTGGTTACTTCCTGGATTAGCTGTGAGTCTCTAGGAGAAAATCAAAACATGTACATCAGTGTTACTGAACTGGCCAAGTGACCAGTTGTATTAAAGCTTGATTTTCAGTATAATCAAATTTAAGAAAAAGCCACTAATTAATCATTAAAAACTTGTATCAAATCATATGCCTAGTTAATATAAAATTTTTTTCTCCAATATAGCAGCATTTCACTAAGATACCACGCTGATTTACAACTTCAGTCCTGCAATCAAATGCACGTGAAAAGGAGCTCCTAGAAATTCTGCAGATCTAAATGAATGTCAAAAGAATTTTGTATGGATACAAGAGAAAACTATTCTGACTGCAGGATTCAAAACAAACCTAACACCAGCTGACAGTACTCTCACAATCCTTTCCTTCCACTGTTTCTGTATAAAATACTACTACTCTTTTTCCTCTTCAAGATGAAACAAAGCTCCATAAACTCAAGATCGGATAGAAACCAAAAGTTCTTCATCATTTACTGGTCTACTCTTACAATATTTGCAAGGAAGCTGGGTCTACTTTATATAAATTTAGAATGCCTAACAGTGAGAGCATTAAGTCTTAAAATTCAATTTAAGTATCCTCTGATTTTCCCATGATTTTTTTTACAAAATAGTAGCCTGGACAGAGGTTTCCTATGCTCTTGTGACCTGGCAAGAAACACATTTTATCGTGTTTTGCTTGCACAAACGTAATTGAAACATATAAAGCAACTTGTAAAACAACTCTCAAATTACAGAAGTCATTTCACTAACACATGCAAAAACAGAATCCTGATGATTCATGTTCTTATTTACCACCACCTCAATAAAAAAATAAAAACTGAACCCCAATTTGCATATCTGGTAGTATTTGTACAGCATGCAGCTCCATATGAAAACCTACTCATAAAATGCTGCCATGCTTATTCAATTTATGCCCGCAACTAAAAGTTAA